GGATGCTCAAGCATTTTGAGATTGAGATGAATTCTGATGCATACATCCTAAATTATGTCCCCATTTCCCCCCAATCTATCCCATTGACTTTAGAGGGGAGGCAGAATTTGATCTCTAGATTTCGGAATTATTACCACCCTCATTTTAAAGTGGATATCAGACACCAACTGATGTTTCTGGAGAAGAAAGCCCTTTATTAAGGGAGCTGATGCACCACAGGCATTACTCTTTACATTATGCCTTGACCCAGGGCATAGAGGAGCTACCATAAGGGCCAGGAAGGGCTCTGTGTACACTCAATCCTTGGCATCATTGCTCGGGTTGCATGTTATATTGATGGTGCTTATGATGTAGGCACATGCCCATTAGGAGTTGGCCTCGGTCCACAACTCATTTTATATAGGCCATGGAACACAGATCAGATGCCAATGTTTCTTACTCACACACAATATTTAGAAAATCCAGGTCAATATGGGGTTCGTTATTTTTTGCCTGTACTTGTTAGGCTGTACAATTTATATGCTGTATGCTAAAAGAGTGTGCAGTTTCTCAGTAGAAATCTTATTTAAAAACAACAACACAGGAATGATATAATAATAATTAATAGTAATTTATCTATATTACAGCAGTGCCTGAGGATCCTAATCAGAGTCACACCACCAATTTACACTTTCAAAGACATTGGTCATCCTGGTTGACCTGAGATAGTGTCAAAAGGTAAAAATCAGCCCCGGAGCTCTCAGAAGCTGGAGGATAATGAAGGGGGCTAATGCAGCCTGCTCTCTGTTAGGGGGCTTATTCCTTCACCCACTTACTTCCCTGGTCCTTCTCGCATGAACAGAGAGCAACAATACCTGAAGTCCAAAGGTGCAAACAATTCGATGTTTATTGGGGTGAACTTCCAGCAAGCATGATTCCAGTTTCCTTCCTTAGTATCCTCCTTCCCAGCTCTGACACCACAGAGCCTTACACGTGTGTCCCTGTTCCCATTCCTACCCTTAGCCAAACATGATTCCAACTTCCTTACTCCCATTCCCTGTTCCCATTTCCCCCCTTTAGCAAAACATGATTCCAATTTTCTTACCCCCATTCCCTGTTCCCATCTCACACACCCACATGCCCACCCCCACCCACACCCAGTCACTTCCTCATTGACTACAGATTATATAGTAAAACTTGAGTTCTGCTTAGCTATACCTTAACCAATCATTTTCCTGAAATTTAACTAACCAATCCTAACATATTGTAACATGATTATGTAACCAATTATATCCCACCACCTCAATTAGTTTACACCCAACAAAATTAATTATACAGCAGACAGGAACAATCACAGAACCAGACAGAGATTATACAGACAAACAACAGCAAAGTGGGAACTATAATGACAAAACAATACAGAAGTGAGGATTTCACATCCCAGCTATTGATAAGTGAGTTCTTGCCAGACAGGATGCTGTCAAACTAAGTTTCCTTTTACATTTTCTAGGCACTTCCCTTCCTCTGGAGGTGATAGGAATACAATCCTGTCCTGATAGTGCCTAACAGCCCAATAGCACCTTATTTCAATGTGACTAGTTTGGAATGTGAGGATGTGACCGTTCGCTTCCCAGCTTATGGCTGCCTCTGCTGCTTAGCCAAAGGCCTGAGCCTAAGCACAGGGCCACAAACTGTCACAGTAAGAGAAGGCCCTTACACTGGCAGACAGTGGTTTTGATTCTTTCTTTTATACCTCTATCACTAGCCAAGTGATAAGAATACACCTAAATTCTTAGAGTATAGGCCTTTACAGACAGGCCTGAATATCTATATCCTAACACTCTCCTCTTTATACCTGGCCATCTTCTTGGGTTGAGGACACTGGTCCTGGGTTCCTCTCCTGCACATCTTGAGGGATTCAGATTGCCATGGAGAAGCAGACACCAGGCCTGTGGTCACAGAATTTAGTTGCAGTGCAAAGCCTGGATTTCCATTATCGTTATTATTTATTTTATTGTTTAACGTTTATATTGCAGCAGCAGTGAGAGACCACACTGTTCTAGGACCTGTAAAAACATACAGTGAATGGCAATCTCTGCCTTTAAAGTGATTACAGCCTCATTCATGTTGTGCCCTATGAGCCTTCTGTGAAGTGCAAGGCCATTTTCTCTCGGGTGGAGTGGGGGAGAGGAGGATGCAGAGGAATCTTCATGAGGAGACTCTCGGAAAGTTTGCAGTGGACGTTATCCTTTTCTGTAGGAGGGGAACAAGTGGCTCGTTGTGATTGGCTCTCTTCTCCACCCAATCTGTCAGTGTTTTGTGGATTAAAAATAAAGTTGCTGAAGAAAGGCAGAGTATCAGGGAGATGTTCCCATTTACAAAATGGTGATATTTTATTCCTTGTCTTAAAGAGTTGAGGTTTCACACATTGCAGAGCTGACATTCACTTTGGCAGCACAGCTGATTCTGACAGCATGGACCAATGATGCAGCCCAAATGCCTCCCACTTGAGTGAGTAGGCCTTTCTCTGAGGTAAACCAAAAATGCAGCTCAGAATTGCTTTGAGTACCTGTGCTTAACCTGTCTGAACACTGTCTGTCTAAGTCTGAATCTGATGAATGGATTTTGTCTGACTTGTGAAAGTCAGGTATGTGTGGGAATAAGATGGATCTCTAAATAGAAAAGCTAATTTCTGGAATATTTCAGGGGGAAAATTATTCTAGCCCACTTGCTCTGCTGTCTGATCTCAATGTGCTAAATAGTTCCTCTGTGTCATGAAAATGCAGTATGCTGTATTTTGCAATTAACCGTTTTATGAGGGAAGACATGAGCTGTTAGTCCTTTCGGTCATTAAGGTAACATAAGGATGAAGAACATTTTCCAGGGTGTCTTAGTTCATGCTGTAGGGCACAAAAATATCCATCTGCATTATAAAACAAGAAACCAAATAGCATGCCCCCATAACCATTAGGTGAGGAGACACTTCTGTACTATTTAAAAGATCATCATCGATTGCTGCAGTGGTTCTCAACCTTTTCCATGTGGTGAACCCATGTAACAGCCGAAAGAAGTGTTGGGAGACCTGTCCCATCTAGTCATTGTTGTGGTTGTGACTCTCCTGGTCCTGTTCTTGCCATTTCTCCACTACCCCTATGGATTCCGATATGAAGAAAAGCTGGCTTTGAAAGGTAATAGGAAATATGGGCCCAATTCTACAAAGCCTTAGTCAAATAAACCCTGATCTTGCTAGGTGATGCACATGGACAGACCTCTTTGCTCCTGATGAATCTGACTGAGGCCAACTGTGAAAGGTCCTCCTCTATGCATCACATTGCAGTGTCACGGTCATGAGTAGCCTTCCTTACCCTTTCACATATGTGCATTGAAATCAATGAATCTATTTGCACGAATAAGGAAAGGACAACTAATGTGAATAAGGGTTTGACAGATGCAGACCTCTGTGTCCTGTTCTCCACACTGAAAATTTACTCCCCAGTAGGACATCTGGCACAGGCTAGAGCATTTGGAAACACACATTTTAATCCTTAAACTGGCTAAAGTTGAGAAAAGCTTGACATTGTATGGCACGTAATACAACAAAGTGTGAACAGGCCTCTTCTACTCCAGCCCCCCAGCTCAACAAGAAGCACAGAAATCAGGTACAGTTGAGTCTAATGCACCTGTTCCCAAATACAGTCTATTTTTATTACAATAAAAAGTGCTGAATTTGCAAAGGAGACTATATGGCCTTAAAATATTTATAAGAAGAGTATTACAGTCTAACATTTTTATGTACAGTCTTTTTTACTAGAAAAGAAATACACAAGTAGTTGTTACATCTTTTCAAATCTCTTGTAAATTTCAGGGTTGATGCTCCCATGGTATAAATCAGGGTATGTCTATATTGTAATCCCAGGTGGTATCTGTATTGCCATGGGGTGTGATTGCAGCTCGAGTCAACATACCCAAGTTAGCTTTTGCTGGAGTGGAACCATGGGTAATTATTTGTGGAACTAGCCCGAGCTGAAGCATGTGCTACCAGAGTGTCACTGCTCTGGGATCTGAGCTAGCTAGATTAAAGCTAGCTAGGATATGTCTATTTGAGTTGCAGTCACGCCCCCTGTAGCGCAGACATACTGTCCATTATAGCTGCACTGCTTTCAATGGAACTATGTTGATTTGTACCCGATGAGGATCTGATCTTGTACGCTTTCCATGAGGATGCCTCTTTTGGCCCCTATAGGCACTATATTTCTTCCGTACTGAAATCAGTGAGCTTGCTTGGAAATCTGTGAATGCACAAAGAAGGCAAATGCTGCCACAGAGCAGGCCAGCTTCAGTATGTAAACCTCCCACATGAACAAGCAACTTTTGTATTTTCCTTTTTGCTCAATGTGCAGATTCTCCGCCCCTTGGTAGCTGAATTTCCATCCTTTTGTTGTCACACGTGTAATGTACAATGTTCATTTCATTTTTATTAATCAGACCCATTATCAGAAAAGAAAAATACAGAGAGTGTTACAGATTGTAGTAAGTGCCTCCAAGTTGGATACTGTCATTTTTTATCTTTTATGCATTTTTTAATCTTTTGTGCACTCATGTCTGTTTTCCCACACTGTTATTGCTTACAATATTCTGCTCTTTACAAAAAATCAGACAAACAAAAGTTGGGAAAAAGCATTACTGGCTATCTGTAGGAAAATTCTCCTCTAGAAGTGTGCATTCAATTTCTATTAATGCTAATTAGAATTAAGGAGCTCTTTCCTATAACTAATGAACAATAGGCATAACCTGATATTACATAATGGTAGGCACACATATTAATACATTGTTGAATTGCAGTACCCTGTTAAAATGCATCCTCTTCAAAATTCACTGGAGATTTTTTAGAGACCTTTATTGTAATTACATCTAGCATGGTTTCTAACTCACTTAATTTTCTTTTCTACCTAAACTGAGCATATAAGTGTATTTTAAGAGATTGTATAAATAGATTTTTAATTATAAAATGATGTTATCGCATACATTATTAATAATACCCAACAATGTGTAATACATATTTTTGTAATAATCCATTAGGAAGAAGACTTAATATATATCATTCCTAAAAGAATATCCTAATTTGTCTTATGTCTGTGGATGGAGGGAAATCCATGTTGAATGCAATGGAGAGCTTTATAAAAGAGTGAGACTGACCCTGAGCAAAGCAATTAGCACAGCTGGTATTTAGGAATTTTGTTTTCATCTGTTGCAAGGTAGGAAACAGGGTTTCATTCTTTATTGGCTTCAGTGATTTGTGAAATCATACAAACAAAATTTTCATTGGTAATGCTATACAGTTCTTCCAAAGGGACATCAGAGAAAACACACAGCCCTGGTTAGCAAACACTCCAATTATTTTAAAAAATTGTATATCCTTTTTACTGTGTCAGTTTCCGTTCAGATAGTTTATGGGAATTCTGTCAATTGTTTCCTATTAGTGATAACAGACTTCAGAAATCTCCAAGGCAAGTTCCAGACATTCACTGGTTTCGTGACAGGATTCAAAAATGCTGCAATCAATGTCACACTCACAGTTGCAGTCATTGTTGGAGTGGTTTTCACTGGAGGTATGGTGATATCTATAGGATGGACAGCACATATTTATCGACCAATTTTCACAGGTATTAGGCAGCATTATAAGAAAGTCCCAAAATTGGCAGAACAAGCAGGCCAGGATAAGTGATGCACATTCATCTAAGAAAAAAGAAAAAGAGTGAGATACAGGAAAGAGAGAGGGCTTGATTCACTATCGTAGTACTCCAAATTTAGGCAGCTGTGGAGACACAGAAGTCATTTAAATAAGACACAGAAGTCAGAGATCCCTGCAGACTGCAAGCTAAGCTTAAAATATAATTTTGAAAAATTACAGCAGTAAAACATATTACATAAAATGATGTCCTGTGTTGTTTGGTCTGGACAGAAAACCTCCTCACCATGCTTTGGATGAAAGTATTCCATATGAGTGAAACTTACCTTTGTACAGAGGATGTAAGTAGTGCTGATGCCCTGGGCTGGCCCTCTGCATAGGCGTCAATTTCACTCAGTGAGGATACTCTCCATTGTACTACATTATTACATAAATGTATCTCTAGTGTGATGCCAGTAATTCCACTCAAACACAGCATCTGCCATAGGCTATAGAATAGATTTTATTTTTCAGATAGGAATTTGTAATTCAATGTAGAAATCCGCAGTCCCATTCTTGCACCCCTTATGCGGGCAAAACTTCCAGTGGGGATTTTGCCTGCATGTAAAGATTTGAGGATTGCACTCTTGCTGTTGAAATAATATTTTTATGGGCTGTCAGCCCATCAAAGCATTTTAGGGCCTGATCTAATGCTCACTAAAGCCAACAGGAAGAGTTCCACTGACTTCAGTGAGAGTTGGATCAAGCCCTTAAAGTCTGCTAAAAGCTTAGTTATTAGTTGTTCAGATGGAAAGGGTCAGTTAGGATGCATATGATGCTGTATAGCCGAATCACAGAATTAGACATTGCAGATGTATGAGGATTTAGATGAATTTATGGGTGAGAGCAGAACTCACTTGTGGAGTGGTGTAAAACAGCACAGATTAATCACATGCTTCTAGTCTGATTTTTATAAGGAGTCTGATTTAATAGATTCGCAGATTCTAACACCAGAAGGGACCATTGTGATCACCTAGTCTTACCTCCTGTATAAAAGAGACCATAGAACTTCCCCAGAATAACTCCTAGAGCAGATCTTTTGGAAAAACATACAGTTTTGAGTTAACAATTGTCAGTGATGCAGACTCCAGTACAACCCTTGGCAAGTACTTCCAATGGCTAATTACGCTTACCGTAAACAAAGTATGTCTTATTTCCAGTCTGAGTTTGTCTAGCTTCAACTTCCAGTGAAGTTCAGTGAATGCTAGCTTGCAACACTTACCAAAAAGGGGGTGGAAAAGGAACAGTACAGAGTAGAGTTAACACATTGCAGTTTGGTATTCTACGCTCTGCCCAGGGTCACAGTTCACCCTCTCTCTTAAATAGGCTTTTCACCTTCTAATTCACATGCTTGTTAATTTTTAAAAGGGGAAAAATGTGGAAAAAGAGTATCAACTTGGAAAGGTACATTTTAAAGGGAAGTCGTTTTCTTTCCAGCATTGTGTAAGGGAGTCACTCTTACATATCAGCAAGCATCAGCCCCAGAAGGACCAGTTCATGACTAGAGTAATTGTCCTGTAATGTTGCAGGTGCTTTGGCAGCCACTTCATATTTACAGTATATATAACATGCCCCAGAAGGTTGCCTTAATGTGCTCACCCAGGCTTTGATTTCCCCGTGCTCGGCCTCTACAATTAGAGCCAGATTTTCCAAACAGCTCAGCTCCCATTTGTTAGTGTTGAAGCAAGATAAGGTGTTCAGAGGCAAATCTGAACTATTTGGAAATTGGCAGAGATGCAGTTTGAAGTGTGGTGGATTCTGCCAATGATTTGCCCTTCCTGTGCATTCACTTATTTCAAAAACCATAACATGACCTTTTCCCTTGGTCGTTCAGCTTTTTGTTTCTCTTTCTCTGTTGGTTGTTATTCCTAAGCTATACTTGTGGTGATATCATGTCAGAAGCCACACTTTACTGCACCTTGTAATGCCTATCAACAAAGGTTTTTGTCTTCCTTTTTTTCCCCCAGAAGGATCAACACCATTAATTATCAGGGCCCAAATCTTTTCAACTGTTGTTTTTGGTTTTTTTTCTTTTTTTAAAGGAAAATATGTTTCAATAGTGAGAATTGTTTTCACTGGGACTTTCAGGAAAAAATATTGGATATTATCACATTTCTTGCTCTAGTATGACAAACTATCAGGCATCTTATTCAGCTGCATTTGTTCAGTTGTGGCATGAGATATATCATGTAACATAATGCAAGATGACCAATGAAATTAACTGAGAAGTTCACAGCCAGACACTTTCCAGAAGAATTTTTTTAAAACTTCCTTGATGATAAAAAAAAAAAAAATCACTCCAACTTCTTTATTTTTTAAAAAAAGTCTATTCAGCATGTAGAATAAAGAATAAATAGCATGTGATTGAAATTCTTTCCGTAAGTAGCATAGCATTGGCAATGTTATCAATTTTAATACTTATTTCAATATGTCAAGATCTATTTAAGTTCAGACAAGCACAACTAACTTCCCAGTCAGTTCTGTAGAATGAGAATGACTAGATTTTGGTAATACTTAGTAAATTCATGCTTATATTTTTTTCTGAGTAAATGAACTGAAATAATTAGAAAATTGAAACATTTTATAAGGTGACACTGCTGCATTTAATTGTATGAAATTTACAGTGTAGAAAATGTAATCATTCTATCCAGTAGTCCATGGTGTAATTAAGACTATTCTTTTTAGGTATCTTATATTTATGAAATTTCCCCCTTGCACTTTGATAAGATATATCAAATTCAAAATAATACAGCAATTAGGGATCTTTTCAGCTTTTTCTAAAATAAAAAAAAATAAGATCTGTTTTCTAATAACACAGATTTTCCTGAATTTATTAACCTGAGTGGTGCTCACATAATCTTATGAGAATAGATAATAGTTCTTAAGGGTCTACCGAGGAAAGGGACCACACAAAAAGCACAAGACTTTAAAAATAAAGTAATGTTTCAGCACAAAGTCTGTGATGTGCAGTAAAGATGCTTTTAAATTCCCATCAGAGCACACACCATGAACTGTGCTAATGGATGTAACGCATCTTGCAAAATCTGCATGTGTGAGGCTTTTTTGTCCTGTGTTAAGTGGTAATGTATATAAATAATAGATATTAGCAATTAAGCATCCATTCCTATGCATTCATTCATATATTTGAAAATAAATTAGCCACAAACTGCACAAAAGAAGATGCAATCTCCTGTTTTCTCTTCTGTTTTTCCTGCTCCTTTTGAAAGGCATTGCATTTATCTCAGTGAGAACAATGACCTCAGCTCTCAATTTCTACATTATTAGATTAATTACCACAAAATAACTATTTTTAATAGTGTTCCGGGTCTGCCTTTGCTCTACATTTTCTTGCTCTTTGTGGCTTGTGGGTGTCAATCCATCTTTAATTCATACTGCTGAGTCTCGGTATGGGCCTGATCCAAATCTCATTGAAGTCATGGGTGTCTTCTCCATGGATCAGACTCTCCTAGAGCAGTTTCTGCAAAGTGAGCCAAATTCTCCTCTCAGTTATAGCCAGGTAACACAGCTGGCTTCACTGGCTTTAGGGTTTTTCCATGGCTGTATCAGAGAATAGGATTTGGCCATATGTGTGCCTAACAATCAGCTACAATAACTAGTCAGAATAGATTGAACGAAGTGTTCAGTGACAAACACAAATCTTGAGTTTCCTTGATTTTCTTGGCTTACGTCCAATTCTTAACATTCTTAATTGAGCACAGATTGTTTTCGTTAATTTCCTTTGCTTTTCGTTTTTTAACTGTGTGAAATCTGTTATTTACTTCACATATGTACCACTCCTGTGTACCAGTAACAATTTATGAGACCAATCCTGTCATCACTACACAGGTAAAACACCCATTTGTGTTGGAACTGCTGGATCAGTCCCCCTTAATGGAATAACTACTTCACCTCTTTAAAGAAGATTGAATGCACTCTGATATCGCTAGAAGTATATGAAGCACTACAATTATTACAGAATCAGTGATACAATATATCATAATGGCTCCTTTGGAGCATTGTGGTTTATTGTGTTGATCTGTACTTAGTAGTTCTTAATTCAAGGATCATTAACATGATATAGCTGACATGTTTCAGCTATATTGAATAAAATCCTCTCCAATGCTTTATTATAAAATGCCCACATAAGGAAATTTAGTCTACGGAACAAGAGCATCACAGATATTTCATTGGGATGTATCATGTCTATGAGAATATTTAGGGCTAGAACCTCAGCTGCTGTAAATCAGCGTAACTTCGTTGACTTCAGTGTAGTTATGCTGGTTCACACAAGATGTAGTCTGTACTAAGTTACAGAACCTGGGTGTTCTGCTTTGGTGCATGGATACATGGTGGATAGTGAAATTCTTATGAAAACCAAAGATTGTGTCAGCACATTAATGACTTGTGTAATAATGAACGAGAAAGAAATAACTTGTTTTGATTATGTAAAAGAAAAACAACCCCAAATAATAGCCACATGCAAATTTTGGATTAGCAGCCAAATACATTTCCTTTTAGAAAGTGCAAACATTTCTTTGGGTCAGGGGTGTTCTCACAAAGTATGCAAAAGCCATGTAAGTTCTGTATTTTAACAGCCTTATACAGCATTTTGCTTTCAAGTTGGTAGAAAACAAATGTTTAAAAACCCTAGTCATGTGACGTACTGATATAACATTAGTATTTTGCATATATGGGTTCATATTGGCTAGCAGAGGCAGGCCAGAATCGAAAGCCTCAAGGCCATGCTTCACCTAGGTTCAGTAGCACATGCCTAAATTTAAGCACCTTGAAGTCAGTGGTGTTACTACCATGCTTAAAGTTAGGCAAATGTTTAAGTACCTTGTCGTATCAGGGCTTAAAAGCAGCATAAACAGGATGCTGTATTCTGCATCAGTAGGGGCAGAATACGAAAAGGCCTCTTCAGTGTGGTCCTCTGTGAGTCTTTGCAGCAGGCTGATAGAGGCAGGATTAGGACTGGGTGGGGTAAAGGTAGATTTGTGGGTAATAGACCCCCCAACTATATGGATCCAGCAGGCAAGCCACTGTGCATAAGGGGTCGTCCGTGCTCATAGGCACTGCTGCAGAAGCAATAACAATGCCATTCTGCTGCCTTGGGAGAAGGAGTCTGTTCTTCCAATGCCTACTAACCATCCTTATGCAAAGACTATTTCCTAAGATCCATGCACAGGTAGGGTGACCAGACAGCAAATGTGAAAAATCGGGACGGGGGTGGGGTGTAATAGGAGCCTATATAAGAAAAAGACCCCAAAATCAGGACCTCTGGTCAGCCTATGCACAAGCACAGACATGTCCCCACTGGACTTAAATTCTTGTATTGTGGCCCACCAATAAGAACCCTCATGTCATGGCCACTTTAAAGCAATCTTCTTTAGATTCCCAACTCCAGCGTAAACCATCTCTAGGACATCTCATGGTTGCTTAGTTTAGATTCTTGAACTTCCTGTCCAATGTTTAAGCAGGTGTTTCAACTGAAATAGGGCATTCTTTAAACAGATATTATTTAGAAATCTGCTTACACTTAATCTGTTTTGCAAAACATACCGTCACTGTCTCTCTGATGAACTGATGCATCATTTTCAATATAGGTGAATTGTGTCCTGCACTTCTCAAGGGAAGATAATGATGATGTACTAGAGTCTGACAATTTCTTCTCATTTTTGGTGTCCTTGGATGGAGCGTCTGTGATGCTGAATTCCGACACTGAACTCATAATACCTTTCATAGGTTTCTTGTCTTTATGTTTTTCACTTGTAAGCTGGTTATCTGGGGGAAGGAAATAAAAGGTCTACATGTAGTACTAAGCCAGTGGACCAAAGGAACGACATTTTCAGAATTTGCCACTGTGGGCCCAATCCTATAAACCCTTACTCCCCAGCCGTGGCCTTACTCATCATAGTTGTCCCAATGACTTAAATGGGACTATTTGCCTGAGATAAGTATATTCAAAAAGGAAGGGTTTGCAGGCTTACAGTTAAAGATATTCTCCTACACCCAGAGAATTCAGTGGAAAAACTACCATCGACTTCAATGGGGCATGATCAAACGAGGCTAAACAGCAGAGACTTTAATTCAAATAGAACCAAATTGGAGTGGCATGCTAGCCATTGCTACTATAATTCTTGGTAGTAGACTAGGAGGCAAAAAAGTTATCTTACTATTTTTCAGTTGCATCACTGTTTTTTTTAGACTGGCAGCCAGCTACATGATGTACAACTGCATGTAGGTGGTACCTGTGTGCAGGTGGGACAGCATGGATCACAACCTAGGGTTGTGAGTTCAATCCTTGAGGGGGCCATTTAGGGGTCTGGGGCAAAAATTGGGGATTGATCCTGCTTTGAGCAGGGGGTTGGACTAGATGATCTCCTGAGGTCCCTTCCAACCCTGATATCCTATGATTCTATGATTGTTCTTTCGCAATGGCTCACAATTTTGTTGCCAAGAGAGCCAGATGGTCTCTGATTAGGACCCTTACACCTTGTTTCAGGACTTCATTTTCATTTGCACTGTTGGCCTTGGATGTCCTAGTTATAGTGACTAAAAGATCGTTTGATTCACATGCTATAGTAATGTGAGAGATGCAGCTTAAAAACCAGGGGGGAAATTATGACTTTCCAAATAGATCTTAATTTTAAGGACCAATTAGGGAATGGTTTAAGAGAATTTTGAGCTCAGTCTAACCTTGAGGAATCTCTCAAGCACTAGTAAACATGCTCTCCAAAGTGACCGAGAGGCCAAGAAACATAACTAATAGCCAGTCTCACTGGTACTGGGATGATATAACCTCATCAACTCTTATCTCCAGTTGATTAACACTGGCACCTCACATCACACAGAGCCTTACTTTTTATCTAACCTAAATCTCATGATATGCTTCCTCTTAAGCTATATACAGAAAATCAATCTTTACAAACAGCTCAGTTTTGCAAACATTTAATTCTAAGAAGAGCCGTAAAGGTTTTCAAGAAGCGGGGCTGCCTTCTGTGGCAAGGACCCAGAAAGAGATCATGCATATCATTTCCCCCCCACATACTTTTGCTCCATACTGTATAATAAAGAGCAGCTAAGAAAAAGGTTGATAGCTAGAGAAACCTTGATGATTATAGAGATTGCAGTAGCTATTTACTTACAGAATTAATTAACAATCAGTTTAAATTATCACACATAGTCAGACTGCATGTAATTTAAATTGCCTGTACACAAAGTAATTTGCAGAGACCAAAAAGTTGGCTAGAGGTTAGTGAAGTATAAGAACACGGAGAGAATATAAAGTTGAAGTACGGGGCTGTATATTTTACTTTTTAACTTTGAGCCATTTTTTAAAGAGTTCTTTTTTTAATAGAAGTCAAGGGATGCTACGAAGAAATGCTGGAGTGAAAATCCCTCCTGTGTCCACGTAGGCTTCTAAGGGAACAGAGCTATTGTTAGTAAAACTATTTTTATTATTACTAGGGGGTGCACACTCCACAGCTTCTGTAGCTCCTGGCTTCCCTTCATTCCCCCCACCAAGTTTCCCGTATGCCACCTTCCCATCCCCCTCCATTTCAGGAACTTCCTGCAACTCCCTCCCATCGCCTCTCTGCCAGAGTTTCCATGTGCCCCTCATTGCCCCCTCCTGACATACCCAGGATCCCCTATTCTTCTCCCCATACCAGCTGCTCTGTGTGTACCCCATTCCCACTTCCCTCCATGCCATGGGCTCTATGTGCCCCCCTTTCCCCATACCATGTTTCCCCAATCTCCCTCCCCTCAGAGATTCTTTGTTCCCCTCATTCTCTCCTTCACCCGTTCCCGCGTCCCCCATTTTCCCCCATGACTTCATGTTAACCCCCATTCCCCTCTTTTCTGCTGTGCATCCCATTCCATCATGCTAGGCATCATAGAAACACAGAACAAAAAGACGCTCTCTGCTCCAAAGGGCTTACAATTCAAGCAAACAACAAGAGACAACTGGTGAATACAGCCAGACAAAGGAGCACAAGGAAACAATAAGGTAGTATTGATCATCACACTAGAGAGTGCTCACAGCACATCCGCTGCTTAGCTGTTGTCAAGTTTTTTATAGGCACCAAGGCAAAAGAAAACTTTAAGGAGGGATTTGAGGAAGAACAATGAGATAGCTTTGCAGGTGTTTAGGGGGAGCTCCTCCCGAAGTATGAGGGGCAGCACAGGGGAGGTCTTGTTTGAAAATGTAACAAGTGGGCAATGAAGGCTGCATCATTGGCAGAGCAGAAGTGGGATTTTGCTAGTTTCATAATATATCCTTTCTGAAGGTAACTATCTCTTTCACACCAGCCACATAAAATCAAACATATATTGATTCATTGTCCAGCCCGGCCAGCCCAGAATGCAATAAAATTGTCAATCTTGGAGTGTATTTACAAGTGCATGAACTGGCATTTTCCACCTTACATAGATGAGGGACTAATCACAAATTTCTCTGCCATTTGTATTTGATGACACTGTACTGTGTAGCATCTCCAAGTAGGGATAGGCTTAAGAAAAAAGAGGATGCACAAATAGAGGTATCAGATCTCTGGAGGAAGCAATTTACTTTGAACGTATTGGTAAACTTTTCTCTGGTACACATTTTATTGCATAGTCCACACCATAGTTATCTGACAAAGCAAATAAAAGACGTTCACCTCAATATTAGTTGATAAGTACCATGCTAAGTACTCTCTGGTGTCCAGTGTGTTGACCTAAACTGGAGTTGCATGGGTGTATCTGAGGGCAGAATTTAGCTTTAGACATGTTCTGAAATGTTAGAACATTTTTCAGGAAAGTGGAAATGTTACAGGCAAATATGGAAGTCTCTACACCAGCAGCCTGATTGTGCTTCCACAAAAGTTAAAGGCAACACTCCCATTGATTTAAATCAAACTTAGAATCAGTGACTTTTTCCCTCAGGTCATATTTTGTTTCAACTGATATGTTAATCCCAGTTACAAGTAGTTCAAGAAGCAGGTTGGTTTACTACCATATACATCTTGTTAAAACTATAATGTAGGTGTGCAGATATAGATACAGATATAGATTTGAAAATGTGGATGTAGGTACATATGCTTGTGTATCTAGCTAACTAGCTAGCTATCATTACATTATATTTGTATGAGTTGCTGATGATAGACCCACCTACAACTGAACAAATATTGACTCTCTTACATTAAAGTACATTTTGTTTCATTTGAATCTATGGCATCTTCTAAAACAAATTCTCACTTGAAATCCCAGTTTTCAAAAGAAGGCCTGTACTCAGACACCATCAATGTTTCTCCCTCAGTTGATGGGCATGACCAACTGCAGGCACAAGGGATAGAATTTAGACAACGACCTGATTTGTGGGTGTAAAAGACATTCACTGTCACAGGTCCCTCAGTCCCCAACCCTGCAAACAGATCCATATGGGCAGACCCCTCCATACCCACTCTGAGACTCACTGATTTCAGAATGTGCAGACCCAGGAGTCCATCCTATGCAGAGCTTCTTGCAAGACTGAGACTCGTTAGAATTTTGATTTCTATCATTTGCACCAGCATTTGTTGGTGATCACAAACTAGTGTTTGATTGCAAATATAGAGGAGAGGTTGAGAATTGGACCCTTTCAAAATGTGCCCCTAAAAACTGAGCAGGGTTTTACTTTTAATAACTAAACAAATATGTCAAGTGCTCACTTTGCCATGTTATGTAACAATGCAGTCACCCTCACAATACACTTATTCCTTCAATGGAACTAGACTGAAAAATCAGATGGAAATAGTCAATAAGTGCCAGTTTAACATTTATTGTATCCACTAGACGGCTAGTATTCATGCTTCAAGTCAAGTTTTATCCTTCAAGTGCTGTTGAAGAGAAATCAAAACCAGAAATATAATGGCATAGATGCAACCTGAATTTTTCAGTACAACACTGTCAAACAAAAGAGTAACAAAAGATACTGTCATAAATATAAAGGGAAGGGTAAACCCCTTTGAAATCCCTCCTGGCCAGGGGAAAGCTGCTCTCACCTGTAAAGGGTTAAGAAGCTAAAGGTAACCTCGCTTTGGCACCTGACCAAAATGACCAATGAGGAGACAAGATACTTTCAAAAGCTGGGAGGAGGGAGAGAAACAAAGGGTCTGTGTGTCTGTCTATATTCTGTCTTTGCCGGGGATAGACCAGGAATGGAGTCTTAGAACTTTTAGTAAGTAATCTAGCTAGGTACGTGTTAGATTATGATTTCTTTAAATGGCTGAGAAAAGAATTGTGCTGAATAGAATAACTATTTTTGTCTGTGTATCTTTTTTGTAACTTAAGGTTTTGCCTAGAGGGGTTCTCTATGTTTTGAATCTAATTACCCTGTGAGGTATCTACCATCCTGATTTTACAGGGGGGATTTCTTTATTTCTATTTACTTCTATTTTTATTAGAAGTCTTCTTGTAAGAAAACTGAATGCTTTTTCATTGTTCTCAGATCCAAGGGTTTGGGTCTGTGGTCACCTATGCAAATTGGTGATGCTTTTTATCCAACATTTCCCAAGAAAGGGGGGGTGCAAGTGTTGGGAGGATTGTTCATTGTTCTTAAGATCCAAGGGTCTGGGTCTGTAGTCACCTAGGCAAATTGATGAAGCTTTTTACCAAGCCTTGTCCAGGAAGTGGGGTGCAAGGTTTTGGGAAGTATTTTTGGGGGAAAGACGTGTCCAAACAGCTCTTCCCCAGTAACCAGTATTAGTTTGGTGGTGGTAGCGGCCAGTCCAAGGATAACGGGTGGAATATTTTGTACCTTG